GTACAACCTACAGAATGAGTGAAAATATTTCAAACTATGCATCTAACAAAAGCCTAATATCCAGAATTGATAAGGAATGTAAATGAGTCAAAAGGAAAAAAACAAATAACCCTGTTAAAAAGTGGACAAGGGACATGAATAGATACTTATCAAAAAGAAACCACACAACCAGTCAATACACATATTTTTAAATGCTCAATATCACTGATAATCAGAGAAATGCAAATCAAAACCAAAATAAGATATTATCTCATACCAGTCAGAATGGCTATTATAAAAAAATCAAAAAACTACAAATGTTAGCGAGACTGTAGAAAAAAGGGAATGCTCATACTCTGTAAGCTAGTTTAGCTTTTGTGGAAAGCAGCTTAGAACTTTCTAAAAGAATTAAAAGTAGATTTACCAATCAACCCAGCAATTCCACTACTGAGTACATACCCCCAAAAGCTTACATCATTCTACCAAAACCCACACTCACATGTTTATCACAGCACCATTCACAACAGCAAAAACAAGGAACCAACTTGGTGTTCAACAATGGTGGAGTGGATAAAGAAAATGTGATACATATATACCATGGAATACTATGTAGTCATAAGGAAGAATAAAATTATGCCTTTTGCAACAATGTGGATTCAGCTGTAGGCCATTATTCTAAGTGAACTAACACAGAAATAGAAAACAGAATACCACATATTCTCACTTATAAGTGAGAACTAAACACTGTGTATGCATAGACATAAAGACTGGAACAACAGACACTGGGGACTTAAAGTTGGGAATGATGGAAGAGGGTAAAGGTTGAAAAACTACCCATTGGGTACCATGCACAGCATTTGGAGGATGGGCTTAATAGAAGCCCAAACCTCACCATCAGTACACCCATGCAACAAACCTGCACATGTATCCCTTGAAAATTAAAATTAAAAAAAATTAGAGATGATCAAATGATTAGTTTCTATAGTTTGTGTGCTTAGGGCTGAGATGAGAGGAAGAATAGCAAGAGTTGAAAAAAAAGTCTAGGGCCTTATTTGGGACGTTGTATGCCAAGTTAAAAATTGTTGCCTTTATTTTAATATTTTTGGAGAATTTAACTAAGGAACTAATCTATTTAAATTTATGGTCATGGTTGGTGTATAAAGGATTGGAAGAGAATGAAAAACAAACTGGAAAGTTGATTAGGGTTTATTATTCAAGGTTCTCCAGAGAAACAGACTCAGTAGCATTTGTGTGTATACGCACACACTTACACACACACACACACACACACACACACACACACATATATATGTGTATATATGTATATATATATACACACACACATACACATATGAGGTTAAACAGGTAGGTCCATGAGCCATCCTAGAAAATGTGCCACATAGCACATCGCTAAATATCACCATGGTTATCTTCAAAGTACTCCCTTTGGGAAGCTATGCATCAACACCAGCGTCTCATCCACCTGTCAACACAATTTTGGAACTCTTTTTCTGGAATGGCTATCAGAGCTGTCATTGCATTAACCGTGATGTTCTAAATGTCATCAAATGTCTTCCTTTCAATATTTCCTTTATCTTTTGGTTTAAAAAAAAAGTCGTTGGGGGCCAGATCAGGTGAGTAGGGAGAGTGTTCCAATACAGTTATCTGTAGTGTTGCCAATGTAAGGGCACAATGGCAAGTTTGCTAACTTAATTGTCATACCTCAACCAACAATGGCAATAGTTCTGATGGCCATTCCAGAAAAAGAGTCCCAAAACTGCTTTGATGGGTGTCTAGGTGCTGGTGTCAGTGCGTAGCTTCCCAAGGGGAGTACTTTGAAGGTGACCATAGCGATACTCACCAATGAGGTATGTAGCACTTTTCTAGGATGGCTTATGAACCTAACTGTCAGACCTCATATATATATATATATGTATATGTATATGTATATGTATATGTATATGTATATATATTATATACATATATATATGTATATGTATATGTATATGTATATATATTATATACGTATATATAATTATGTATATGTGTATATAATTTTGTATATATTTATATGTTTGGGAGGGAAGAGAGATTAAGAATTAGCCTCATATGATGATTGCGGTAGCTAACACATCCTCAATCCACAGGGCAGGTGAGCAGATGGAAAAGTCCAGCAAAATTTGTTTTTGCAATCTTGAATCCAAAGACCTCAGTTTTTTCTCTTAAGGTCTTCAACTAATTAGTAAAGATCAATTCATATTACAAAAGATAATATGCTTCAGTCAAAGTCTACTTATTTAAATGTCAATCACATCTTAAAAATACCTTTGCAGTAAGTGCTCGAGTGATGTTTGACCAAACAATTGGGCTTCACAGAATACCTAAGTTCACACATAAAATTAACCATCTCGGGAGTATTATAGTAAAATAAACATAAGAGGTAGTAGTTTGAAATAAAAATGCTGACATTGAAGATGTTGATAAGTGGTATATAAATATTAGACTCAGAATGTGTAAGACTTTGTGATAGGATGTAGGAGTATAGAGGAAGAAAGATTAAAAAATTACTCTCAGGCTTCTGAATCAATATATTAATTGAATGATGATGCCTCTTATTGGAGGAGAGCAAGTTGGGTGTAGAGGCAAAGATGGGGAAAGAGAAATAAATGAGATGGTCATTGGTATAGAGGAAAACTAAGATTCTCAGGGATGAAACAGTCCAGTTCTCTCAAGCATCCTTAGTAGATTGTGAATCTGACCATGGACAAGTCACTCCAAAATGTTATTCCATTCAGACCCTAAGGAGTTCAGGAACACTGTCCCTGCAAAGGAAGTCACCTCTTTTGGCCTGACTGAGAAATTCACAGGTTAGTCAGTGGCATCTCACCCTTTATTTTTCTGGTGACTTGTATATCCATGGCCAGAGTCAGAACACAGACCATAATTTTATGAGTCCACAAAGCCCACACCCAACAGATAACCTTACAGCAAGAAAAATGTCACAGCAATTTTATTTTCTGGTGCCACTTTGTCATTTCCTCTCAGAATGAACTAACTCTAGTTATCACACACATTTCAGGATAAGCTGTTGTTGAAAATGGACATAGTCTTAATGATTTGGAAGGACAGCAACCCCAACTTATAATAAAAAAACTACTTTAACAGAAGGTATCATACTCCCAGACTTTAAACTTTATTATAAAGCTGCAATAACCAAAGCAGCCTGGTATTGGTACAAGAACAGGTACATAGACCGATGGAACAGGATATAGATTCCGGAAGCAAACCCTTAATTTCTCAACCAATTCATCTTCAACAAAGCCTCTACCACCAGTCACTGGGGAGAGAAGAATCTATTCAGTAAATTGTGCTGGGAAAACTGAATGACCACATGCACAACATTAAAACAAGACCCCTACCTATCACCATGCACAAAAATCAACTCTAAATGGATCAAAAACCTAAACATAAAATCTCAAACTGTAAGAATCTTAGAAAACACAGGAGACACCTTTATGGAAATTGGACCTGGCAACCAATTCCTGATCAAAACCCTAAGTTCCCATGCCATAAGAGATAAGATAGACAAATGGGACTTCATCAAACTGACAAGCTTCTACAAAGTCAAAGAAATGATCAAGAGAGCAGAGACATCCCTCAGACTGGGAAAAAATATTTGTCAACTGTGTGTCTGACAAAGGCCTAACATCTAGGCTCTACAAGGAACTCAAATGTGCCACACACACAAAAAAAACCCAAAACAAAACAAACACCCCATTACAAAGTGGGCTAAAGATATGAATAGACACTTCTCAAAAGAAGACATACGAGCAGCCAAAAGATACATGAAAAAATGCTCAGCTTTACTAATCATCAAAGAAATGCAAATTAAAACTACACTGAGATATCACCTAACTCCAGTCAGGATGGCCATCATCAATAACTCAAAAAACAACAGATGCTGGAGAGGACGTGGGGAAAGGGAAACACGTCTACACTATTGGTGGGAGTGTAAACTCATACAACCTCTGTGGAAAACAGTTTGGTGATTCCTAAGAGATCTAAAAATCGATCTTCCATACGACCCTGCAGTTCCCCTACTGGGAATATACCAGGAGGAACTCAAATCACTCTATGAAAAAGATACCTTCACACATATGTTTATTACAGCATTGTTCACAATAACAAAAACATGGAACCAACCATGCTGCCCATCAAAAGAGAACTGGATTTTAAAATGTGGTACATATATATGATGGACTATTATGTAGCCATAAAGAAGGACAAAGTGATGAACTTCACAGCAACTTGGATGGACTTAGAATCTATAATACTGAGTTATCTATCATGGAAACAAGGAACTGAGCATCACATGTTCTCACTCATAAGCAGATCTTGAACAATTATAATACTATAAGAAAAGGATTGACAGTAGTAGGAATCTGCAGGAGGAGGGAGACACACCTCATCAACAAGGGTACCTGCATAATGTATACTTAACCCTGAATTGTGCCCCACATCTTTAAAATAAATTTTAAAAATTTTTTTAAATGTTAAAAACTACTTTTGAAAAATAAATATGAATATGACTTTAAAACAACACAAAGTCTAGCTGATTCTAAACCCGGGGAAGTGAGGACCAGTTGGAGGCCCAAACTTCACCTGCACAAAGTTTACTTGTATACCTAATCCTGACTTGTACCCCACATCTTTATAATAAAATAAAGTTTAAAAATGTAAAAAAATAAAGTGATAAATACAAAAAAAATTTCAGCCATATTTTTATGTGAATCGATTGTTTTCCTTAATTATATATATATATAACTTAATTTTATTAAAGATAACTAATTATGGATCTCTTATTTACTATTTGATATCTGAAATTTTACTTCCTGCATATGCTAAAAATCTCCACATTGCCTAATTATAGAAGGACAGATATATTTCAACCACACTCAACTTTGTTTTATTATTATATCTATGGGATGTTATTTTATCAAATCCTATAAAAACAGTCATCACTAAATTAATATTTTTCTACCAAGCTCTCTCTTCAGAGCCCCCTTAATCTCCTTATTCCTGAGACTATAGATGAGAGGGTTCAACATGGGAATCACCACCATGTAGAACACAGACACCACCTTGTTTTGGTCCGTTGAGTTGCTGGAACTGGGCATCACATAAATGAATGTAATGGTCCCATAGAACAAGGTGACCACAGTGAGGTGGGAGGTGCAGGTGGAGAAGGCCTTGTGCCGCCCCTCGGTGGAGCGCATCTTCAGGATGGTGATGAGGATGGAGATGTAGGAAATGGCTATGACAAACACAGTGGCCACAACAATAGAGCCAGCAGAAAATGAGGAAACAACTGTGAGGACACTGGCATCAGAACAGGAAAGTTCAATTAAAGGAGCAAAATCACAGAAAAAATGATTGATTTGATTTGGTCCACAGAAGAATAAGGAAAAGAACAATATAGTATAGGACATCCCATTGAGAAAACCAGCTATGTGAGCAACCACAAGTAACTGGACACAGAGTTGTGTGGTCATTTTGGTTGAATAAAGCAGCGGGTTGCAGATTGCCACAAAGCGGTCATATGCCATGATGGCCAAAATGAAGCATTCAACTGTTGCAAAGAAAGCACCTGAACTCAGCTGGATAGCACATCCAAGGTAGGAGATTGCGTTTCTCTCCACCAGAAAGTTTACAAGCATGTTGGGTGTGACAGAAGAGGAATAGCCCATGTCAACAAAAGCCAATTGGCTCAGTAAAAAGTACATAGGATGATGGAGCTGAGAAGAAATTCTGATAAGAATGATTGTGCTGAGATTGCCAAATATAGTCACTAGGTAGATGCATAGGATAATAAAGAAGAAGATGACTTGAAGAATTGGATCATCTGTTAAGCCTAATAAAATGAACTCTGTCACAGCAGTGTGGTTCCCATCCTCCAAGAAATCCATGAGACAATGTAGCTGCTCCAAAACAAACCTGTGATGAAAACAATACATTGAAGTAGATAAAATTTGATGGTTTCAGTTTCATTAACATATACATGGTAGTTAATGTGAATAAATATATAATTCAAGGAAAGTTTGGACTAAAAAGTATGCAAGAATTTTTCATATTTCTAACTAAAATATTGTTATAGTAGTAGTATATAGTAGTTTGAAATATCAATGTTATATAGTAGTTTGAAATATCAAACTATGTAAAATGTCATATGATTAATATTCAAAACTCCATCATAAGACATTTTGAAACAAATTAAACTATTTCCTAATAATTTAGGAATGAGAATGTGAGAAGGGAGAATGTGCTCTAATTGGAGTATTATAGAATGAAACAATATTATCGTGGATATAATAAACAGTTCAATAATATTTCAGTCCAAAAATTTACAAAGTTTACCCGGGTTTCCCTAGGAAGTGGCCAGCTTGACCTTCATCTCCAAGTTTTCTGGCTCTATTATCTTTGACTTTGTCCAAAGTGTCAGGTTGCTTGTGATTCCAAAGCATTCAGACCGTGAACAAAGTAGATCTTTCCAAAAGATAATTTACTTTTAAATTTTAGTAGGTCCCCAAATAATCTCATAGTTAGTGAATGTATTAGCATGGTGATTGAGTGTCAAGTTTATATAGTGTTAAAAGACCAGGTGAGTTCCTGGAACTTAAAAGATCAAAAAGAAATTCTGGCAAATTGTATTATGCAAAACTAATTGAATTCAGCTAAACTGAACTACTTGCTAGCTGACTGCAAAATTACATCTGCCTTGTTTCTCAACTATAACTTGTGAGTTCACATACAACTTAAGAGAATAAAGTGTTCTCAAGTGGTAAATGAAAGTTAGTGTGTCAGATTTACTCATGAATGTCAAAATCTTACCTTTTGAAATAATAATTCATTCATCTTACAATTTATAAATCCAAAGTTCTTGTTATTATATAGCAGTCAAGTTATATTATTTTTTGCCTTTAGGGATAAATCCCTAAAGATTCTAGAGCTTCAAATGTGAATTCACAAGCACCGGGATCATTAACACATTCTTGAGTGAATATTGAGCAGTTCAATTCACACAAACACAACTCATCTTTAATGCCTTTGTCAATTCTCAAATGATCAATTTGTTTTTAATTTTAGCTAGGCTTTGGTTCACTTTCATTTGATAACTGTTGGGAGTATAATATAATAAATTATCTCATAACTAAATATTAGTTCTCAGTTTATTTTCATTTTTTTTTAGTCAGAGTCTCACTCTGTCATCCAGGCTGGAGTGACTCACTGCAGCCTCAACTTGCTGAGCTCAGGCAATCGTGCCTCAGTATCCCCAAGTGCTGGGATTATAGGCATGAGCTACTGCACCCATCCATAACTTGACTTTAATACTTCAGGTTAAAGAATACTAAGTTGAAAAATATAAAATGGTAAACTTAGTTAAAATGGCTCATAAAAGATAAATACATTTTTATCTTATAAATATTTTATAGTGTTAGCTGTAATATACTTCATTAGGTGCCTTTTGAAATATGGAGTAGAAATGTCATATAAAGTTGTATTTTATTTATTTATTTTTTTATATTAATCAATATTTTTTATTATGGTTTTGTGGGGTACAGTTAAGGGTTAGGTGTACAATTACGTTTCATTCAGGCACCCTGTTGATAAGAGGTGTTTTCCCATCCCCAGACAGATGTTTGCTACTGTTAATCCCATCCCCCGCCCACCCCATAGTTTCTGAGTACCGTCAGTCATTTTCTTATAGTATTACATTGGATGTTCAAGGTCTATTATATGAGTGAGAATATGTGATACTCGGATCTTTGTTTCTGTGAAAGGTCACTCAGTATTATAGACTCTAGTTCCATCCAGGTTGCTGCGAAATTCATGATTTTGTTCTTTTTTATGGCTGTGTAGTATTCCATCGTGTATATGTACCACATTTTTTTAATCCAGTCCTCTTTTGATGGGCAGCATGGTTGTTTCCAGGTTCTTGCTATTGTGAACAATGCTGCGATAAACATACGTGTGCAGGTATCTTTTTTATAGAGTGATTTGAGTTCTTCAGGGTATATTCCCAGTAGGGGGATTGCGGGATCATATGGAAGGTCGATTTTTAGAGCTTTTAGGAATCGCCACATGCTTTCCACAGAGGTTGCACTAGTTTACACTCCCACCAACAGTGTAGAAGTGTTCCCTTTTCACCACACCCTCTCCAGCAGCTGTTATTTTTTGAGTTGTTGATAATTGCCATTCTGACTGGAGTTAGGTGGTATCTCAGTGTGGTTTTGATTTGCATCTCCCTGATGATTAGTGAGGTTGAGCATTTCTTCATGTGTTTGTTGGCTGG